CTTCCTGGCTTTCTGTTTTTAAGCTGTTTTCTTTTTGCACTTTCTCTGCAAAAGGGCCAGAAGCTTCTCATTCTAAACACGTGATTTTGGGACCTGGAACTTTTAGGGAAATACCAAATTTTGTTTGATTCACAATACAGTTGCTGGCGTTGGCAACGCTTTTGAGCCACATTTAACTATTTAGAAGGATCCTGACTGAAATTTGTCCACTGTAGTTTTTAGCAGAGCACCTCCTTCATTACCTCGCAAAGATTATCATGAGCTCTGTCCATGACATTTTCTCGGTTCTCACCACTGATTTTTTGCTTTCAGATGGCAAACTATGTTTCTAGACTGAGGCCTCCCCAGCACCAGTTAACCCAGGAGAATTCCTACAGAAACCCGCTGTTCTTTCGATTACACGTACGAAGCAGTCAGAAGGAATAAATTACTATTAAATACATATCACAAAATGTAACAGCTTTCGGCCTCTTTTTCCTTCATTCTTCCCTGACTCTTTCACTATGCAAAAGGAACGGATTTCTTTATGTGATATCTTTTATTAGACCAACTGCATAGCTGAGATAGGCTTTCAAATGCAAGATATGCTTTGTATTCAAAATCTTTTCTGTCTCCCCACTATGCAGTTGGCTCAAAAAAAATATCACCCAAAGAAATCCTTGACTCTTGTATACTTCCTCCACCATCATGGCTACAACGTCACTCTAACACATCCTTCCTTAAGCTCCTTCTAGTACTCCTAAGCATGTATTATGATCGCTCATATCAGCATACCTACAATAAATTCTGGTGCTTTCCCTGGATGATAAGATGATGACTGCCTGTAAAACCGAAATATTTAGGGACCTTTTGTCAACAGCTGTGAGACAAACCCAGCTGGCTTAGCAGGACTGGGAATAAAACAGCAATGTCTAACACTCTAATTGGTGCTGGTTAGGCCTCACCCCAGCAAGGTGAGTGTTCAGACATTTTTTGAAGATATTCAGAGTAGGTGGTTGTACCACCTTTGGGGGGAGTCTATTCCAGACCCTGGACACTTGAGTTGTAAAGAAGTTTTTCCTTACAACTAGTCTAGTCCAGTCCTTTCATCTAATCTTGTGTGCAGTTCTGAACTCCACATTTTAAGAAGGATGTAGAGAAACTGGAGAGAATCCATGAGTGAGCAAGTGATAAAAGGGTTTGGAGGAAAAAGAAATTAAAGGGGGCCGTGATAGCAGTTTTCAAATAAGTGAAAGGCTGCTATAAACAAGAGAAAGAACAACTGCTCTCTATTGCCACACAGGTAATAAGGTAATGGGTTTAAACTAAAGCAAAGCAGATTTAGGTTAAATCTCAAGGAAAAACTTGTTAACTGTCAGAACAGTTGGATGACTGAACAAGCTGCCTTGGGGAGTCAGAGAATCCCCTGCACAGGCATTCACTTTGGATAGTGTAGAACTGGGGGACATAATATATGGTCTATAGGCTGTCTAGGGACCACCTGGATAATATCAAGGTGCAGACAGAAGTGACAATTATCACCCAATCTGGCTCCTGAAAGCACTCTACAGCTGTGACCAAACACAAGCACATGGATGCAGAGCATTTTAAAAGGGCCCTATCCCACAAAAACCTGAACCCTCATAGCATGAGGGTTCAGATGAAGATGCTTCAAAACAGTGTGCCTTCAGTAACTTGTGTCTGCACATGCTGGGAGCAGGCCCGAGCTGATGCAATTTAGCCCTGCTCCTAGCGCTGTCTTCAGAATGGGAGGGGTGGAGGAGGGAGCAGAGGGATTTCTGTCTGGGTTTTTTTCAGCCAGCACTGGAGGGTGGGGTGGGTGGATTGGAGCCCCCCAAGATAGGGGGGTTTCAACCAACCCACCTCAGGCTCCAGCACCAGCTGGGTAACCCCCAAAATGAGCTCACTCCACTCCCTTTCCCCCCTCCTATTCTGAAAACAGCGCCAGAGCTGGGAGGAGAGAGGGTTGTTGTTAGGGAAGAGTGGCTGCAGGCTTGCAGCTGCTCTAAACAGCAGCTCCATCTCCCAACCCCTGGAACCCAACAGCAAATGTCTGTTGGGTCTGGGGGATTTTTATAACTCATGGCGCCTCCTGTGAAGCGCTAGGAGTTACAATGGGGAGTTACTCTTCTGTCTGTGCCTTCAGTGCCTTTTAACTCAGTGAATCAGCCTGCAGCAACTCAGTAAGACTGCACCTGCACCTTCACAGCTCTCCACTGCAACATGTAACTTGTAAATGTCCCCCAGTGGAGTCTGAGTTATGCACTCCTGGTTTAGGGACAGTGCATCCTGCATCTGTGCAGACAGTTGGACTAGATGACCTTTCCAACCCCGTAATTCTATGTCCAAAACAACTACAACAACAACAGATTTTTTTTTATAGATTTAAGATGAAAAACTAAAGGCTGTTCAACTCTTTAAAATCTGTAAAATCCCCAAAATGAGCAAACAAAAAAGGAAAAGATATACAACATCTTGCAACCCTTTGTCTTCCACTTTTTTTCACAGAACCTCAACATGAGACCAATTATTTGCCTGCGTTTAGAAATTTTGTCAAATGCCATTTAAAGAGGAAAGGGGATTACTTGGTCTTTAAGTTCTTCAGAGAAGAGACTGGTCATCCTAGAGATATGATAAGCAGCTGATGCACTTCTGCCCACAAACATCGGGCCTGATCCAGTTGCTAAGTGAAGTCAATGGGGTTCTTACCACTAATTTCAATAGGTCTTGGAGCAGGACACTGTTATTAGTAATAACAGAGAATGGCAACTTCACTGTGAGGCAGGCTGTCTCCAGGCTGGCATCCCCTTCGCATACAAGCAGAAACGGTGCCAATCCAATTGGCTGGCATCAGAATATAGCAGATTGCCTGAAGCCATGTCCTTGTCTGCAATGTATTTGCTGAGGACCAAGTTCCCATCTGGAAATATTCAAGCAGCTCTGATTTCTCTGGAGTTCACACACCTGATTTCTGCAGGCATGTGCCATCCTTCCCTTATTTATTCTACACCTGTGTTGACATTCGGCAACAACCAAGACAGCCTACTTTCATGTAAGCAGCAAGGTTGATCTCACTGCACCAGGATATGCCACGCTCTGGTCTCCCCCACTATTGCTCTGCAGTGAGTCACACCACTCTTCTAGCTGCATATCACAGATGGCTAATTAGGAGCATGAAGTGAGGAAATCTGTTGTGGCCGCCTGCAGTTGGAATGGACCCTGCCCTCTGCTGCTGAAACCCATATCCCGTCCCTGTCATCAGTCTCATCTTCCCTGCACTTTCTATAATGCAAATGTAATCAAATGGAAACAACCCAGACTTGTAGTCTCCTCCTGAGCCCAAATGTTATATAATCCTTTAGTCTTTCCTGAGAGAAAGGAGGGTGCATAGTACTGAGCCATCATAAAAAAAATCACGGTCCCTGTCCTAAGAGACTTGCAGCCTGACCCAGGCACAAACAATACAATATAAACCAAGCAGTGATGCAAGTAAGTGGCTGCTGATGCCTCACCAACCATTGCAGGGAGGTATCCTGGAAGGTAGCATGGAAGGCATTGTGGTGACAGTACTTGTCTCTGATTTTGCTTTTCAGGGTTGTCTCTTTCTCGCTTCCTGCTCCAACCACCCAAACCCATGTCCTTGCGATTCCTTTTGGCAGGAGGCTCCCCTCTTCCTTTCTGAGACATCTCAGCTTTAAAATTCCCAGCAGCACCCTGCCTCTCTTCCAGGATCACCTCCTATTTAGCAAGTCTTTGTCATAGTGCCTGATCTTAACTTCAGAACTTGCTTTCCCACCAACCCCAAATGCCATCACAGCTATTAACTTCAAGCTGCCATCATAGCCTCATTTCCTTACCAGGGACAATTGCTGCTGGATGATGATCCTTAGGCTAAGGCAAATATTTGCCAAAGTGAACCAGCCCTATTTCATTGATTCTGCTTTACTTAATGACTAGCCTACCAGTTATGCTTAACTAGCTAACAAAAGGATCTGTAAGGCCTGAAGGAAGCAAGCTAATGAAGCAGTCTGACCTCCTGCATGACGCCATCTGTAAAAACTCACCCAGTTGCTTCCAATGTGATAAAAAAACCATATTTCTGTTTTGTTCCCCTTTAATCTTGAGATGATATAAGGGGCAGATCCAGGATTTGGCAAAGGGTGGTGTGGGAGCAGCAACCTGTACTGCAAGGGCAGCTGTACCCCTCTCCTAGCCTTCTTCTCCCTTCCCCCCACCCCACTGGTCCAGGCAGATGATGCTGCATAAGTCTCCAGAGAATTTTAAATCCCCCAAACAGGTGAGACTCCCACCTCCTTTCAGAAGCACGGGCTCAGAAGCACGTTCCCTCCCCTCCCCTCCCCTTCCCCTCCTCATTGCTACCGCTTTCCCTGCTGTCTTGGCGGCAGGGTACGCTTCAGAGTCACTGCTGTCCATCCAGCCAGGCTGTGTTGGAGCTGGATTCAGCTGGGACAGTGACAGTGGCGATGGGTGTGTACTTGGGGTCCCCCACCATGCCTGGTCCCCCCAGGAGCAAGCCTAGGGAGGGGGGAACCCCCCCACCCATCACTGCTGCTGATGTCCCAGCTGAACCCAGCCCCTGCACCCACAGAACTGTATAGTCCCAAAGAGGGCTACTGCACTCCCTCTGAATCCACCCCTGAATAAAACATTACAATATGTATATATATATACTATATATAGTTCATGATTTTTTAACTTTTATTTTGATAGGGAAATTAATCTACTTTATAGATTTTTCTGTTGGAAAAAGCAGGAGTAGTAAGAAAGAGAGAGGGTTCTGAAGTTTCTCATTAAAAACAAAAAGAATTTGCCAAAGCAAAAACATATAATTTCATAAAAATATTTATTTTGATCAAAAAGGCATCTTTTTATCCCTAAAGAGTTTTTTGATGATATATTTTAACTGGCTGTAAATAAAGGCCACATTTTTAATGATCATGACTGCATGGAGAGTGGCAAAAAGTGTTT